CTTTTATGGTATTTCCTATTGAAAATACTAAAACACAGGAATGCAGTACAGCCATTTAGCTGTAGTGTAGCAGTAAGAAATTTTTGTGAGTCCTTGGGATTTTATGTTAAAATAAAAAATAACAGGCATTTTACTGGGTGTCCTGACAAAATAAGGTTTCTTGAATCTAGTTTAGTCTACTTTGCTATGTTGTAGTATTCAGTAGTGTGGTTAATTCTAAATTCTGTTCTTCCTACTTTATTTAATTTATTCTTCTTTTACTTATAAAAAAGCCTCAAGGCTTCGCAAGCGGCAGACAAGCACGTGAAGCTTCATTTGTGCACGCACGGGATTAGGGAGCTTCATCTGCACATGCACGAAACCATCCCTGCCCCCGTTGCCACTGCTGCCAGTCCGCGGAGCCAAAAAGGTTGGGGACCACTACTTAATAGCACTCTCTAAGTGGTTCACAATGATCTTGCCCCCAACTATCTGGCTCCTCATTTTAGTGACCTCAAAAAGATAGAAGGCTGAGTCAACCTTGAGCCAGTCAGAATTGAACACCTGGCTGTGGGTAGAATCAACCTGCAATTGCATTCTAACCACTGCACCACCCAGGCTGATATTGCTATGGGTACCATCTTTGTTTTCTTTTGCCACAGTCAATCTATTTCTATGTTGTGCCTAGACTGGTAAGATTTCCCCTGGGGTTTATGATTTGGAGGGAGAATACGGTGAGGAGAAGGAAAAGTGACTAGGAATTTCCCCCCCTGCCTGTCACCTATAAACTTGATGCCTCTTCTTTTTTAACTCTTGTATTTTGTGATTTTCTCCAGTACTTTCTCTTCTGTTTTGCTGTTACCAGGTAATGCCATGTCCACTATCCAGATGTTTTTATCATTCTTATTGACAGTTGTTAAGTCCGGGGTATTATGTGGCAGGTGCTGCCTGTTTGAATTCCAAAGCACTTTAGCTTCTTCATTTTCTGTTACTCTATTTTCTGATGTATTTGCAACATTCCATGTCCATCTGTTTTCTTTTGTAAGTAGAGCCAGTCAACATCATTGCAAGGATGAAGAGTATGTTTCATTGGCATTATTTGTCTGGTCTTCCTATCCACTATTAAATTTAGTTGCTGCCCATTTTGCTATTCAAGGTGACCCTGAGTGGCTAATACTCTTTCCTTCTCCTATTTAACCCTGTGTGAAGTAAGTTGGGCTGAGAAGGGAATGACTGGCTCACAGCTACCTAGCCAGCTTTCATGGCTAAGGTGAGATTACTGGAAGATAGATGGGAGGAAATTACACTAGTTTACATTTTCTCTCTCTTGGCTTGGCTGTTGCTCTTTGCACATGGCTACTTTTCCCCTCTTTTCAGCCTTTCCATGAAGGTTGTCTGTAAAGAGTAGATCTGTCCCATGATAATTTGTGTGGAAACAGTCAATCTTCAACAACCAGTATTGTCTAGCTCCATCTTAGTTTGTTAGTTTCCTGCTTTCTCCTGTTCAGAATTCTTCAGAATTTAAGTCTACATTTTTCTCCTCCTTCATTATAGCTCAGTAATAGTCTCCTTTTCCTATGGGAAAATAGTCTCTAGAGCAGGTTTTCCCAAACTGTGAGCTTTGAGGAGATGCAGGCAGAGTCCAGGGAAAGTATGAAAAGCGTTTGTTTTTTTATTGAAAGATAAAAAGGACAAGTATAAAAAGTGGAAAGGGGGGCACATAACTAAATCAGAATATCAGCAAATAGCCCAAGCCTGCAGTGAGGAAAGCTAAGGCTCAAAATGAACTAAGGCTTGCGACCAAAGTCAAAAATAACAAAAAAAAGCTTCTTTCAATATGTAAAAAGCAAGAAAAAAATTAAGGAAATGATTGGTCCATTAGTGGGGGAAAGCAGCAAGAAAGTGACAAGCAACAGGGAGAAAGCAGAACTATTTAACTCGTTTTTCACATCTGTCTTTGCACAAAGGGAAAAAAAAAGTCCAGAAGCGATGAATGCTCCAGCACTGGACACTGAGCTGGGGCTTGGATTAGATGACCTCCAAGGTCCCTTCCAACTTCATTATTATTATTGTTGTTGTTATTGTTATTATTGTTGTTGTTATTATATATCTTTATTAAAAATAATTTCGTTTTGATCACATGACCATGGGGAAGTCACAATGGTCGTAAGTGTGAAAATGGTCAGAAGTCACTTTTTTTAGTGATGTTGTAACTTTAAAAGGTCACCAAAGGAACTGTTGTAAGTTGAAGACTACCTGTAATAAATATATTTATTAAAACGGCTCATATTGTGAGTGAGGTGCCATTCTAGGTCTGCAACCTCATGAGTCATCAGCTGAGTTTTAATTCTGAGTCAATACGCCTAGGTTTACATCGTGGTCACCACGATGTAAAAAAGATGCTGAGACTCTAGAAAGAGTACCAAGAAGAGCAACAAAGATGATTAGGGGACTGGAGGCTAAAGCGTATAAGGAACGGTTGCTGGAATTGGGTATGTCTAGTCTAATGAAGAGAAGGACGAGGGGGGACATGATAGCAGTGTTCCTAGAGTTTCCCCACTACGGAATCCACCAAGATCTTAACTAGGAACTACATTCTGTATCCTTTGCTGTTCCCTCTGATGATTCTCAGCTGGTTTCTTTTGCCTTTATTCTCAATCACTGCCTGCTACCTAACTTCACTCCAGACCTTAAGAAATTTTCATAAATCTTGAAGTTTGTTTTGGGTCTGTCGTAAAAGGGGAAGAATACTATTTTAATATGAGTATATAGGTAGTCCTTGAGTTACAACAACAATTGAGCCCAGCATTTCTGTTGCTAAGTGAGACATGAGTTTTGCCCCATTTTACAACTTTTTTTTGCCAGAGTTGTGAAGTGAATCACTGCAATTGATAAGTTAGTAACCTGGTTGTTAAGGGAATCTGGCTTCCCCGTTGACTTTACTTGTTAGAAGGTTAAAAAAAAAAGTGAACACGTGACCCCAGGACACTGCAGTTGTCATAAATAGGAGCCAGTTGCCAAGCATCTGTATTTTGAGCACGTGACCATGGGGATGCTGCAACGGTCGCAAATATGAAAAATGGTCACAAGTCACTTTTTCAGTGCTGTTGTAATTTAGAACAGTCACTAAATGAACTATTGTAAGTGGAAGACTACCTTTAATTAAGGAGGATCTAAAGCTGTCTAACAGGATGGGGATGGGGATGAAATGAAGGCAGCTTCATGAAGAAAATAATTGTAGAAAACGGTTATTTCCAGGTTATTTATTTATTTATTTATTTATTTAATTACATTTATATCCCGCCCTTCTCCTTGCGGACTCAGGGCAGCTGACAATAGATAAAATGCTAACATGTTATACATCTAATTAAAAATCAATTAAAAAGAAACATTTAAATGCGTCCAATTTAAAAGTAATTAAAACCCCTTTAAAATCCCTTAGGCCAGTCCCGCGAGCTGGAACAACCACGTCTTGAGGGCGCGGCGGAAGGAAGGGAGATCAGGGATCACCCTGATCTCTGGGGGCAGTTCGTTCCAGAGGGTGGGAGCTCCCACAGAGAAGGCCCTACCCCTTGGGGTCGCCAGCCGG